GATAACCATAATGAAAGTTTAAGAGAGGTGATATTAAATAAAATTCAACCAGGGTGATAGAGATTATCTTCATATGGAACTGAAGTGCTTCAGTAAAATAAGTAACATGATTGTCTTAGATATTTTTTTCACTGACACTGCCTGCTAGTTTTTGTACAACTGCTAAACAGAAAGAGGTTTCTTGGTGTGTATATTCATTTCTCTAGGCAGTTACATTCGATTTGATCTGGGAAAGTGGCTGCCAGGTATTCTGTCAGAAATAAAATATTTGAGTCAAATAATTATGACTTATTTTCTTAATGGATCTGCTAATTTAAGGTAATTCTGCAGTAAATAATTTCTGTATTTTATATGTATTCAATTTCAAAAAGACAGTACAATAGAGAATGACCCTATTCTTGGACATCTAAAAACCAGGTTATCCTGAGGACTTAGCAGGGAAGTCAGCAGGTCTACACTAGATGTGCTGCTGAGGTCATTAAGAGATGAATTGGAGCTTGGCTACAAAGAAGCCAGGAGACAGGTAGGAACTGGAAATCTAGGTGGACAGATGTTGAGCAACAGAGTGGATTCTTAATGAGAAGTAATAGGTTCTTAGGCACTGAGCTGGCCTCTAGGGCTTGAGTCCAGACCAGAGGAGAGGCTTGAAGAATTTACAAAATTCTTGGTCTTCGTGATTTCAGAATTGAATTTATCTGTTGTTCAAAATATAAGTGAACTGCTTTGCGTATTTAATGAGAAGTGACTTGGGAGAGTGCAATTATGTGTTTATTTCAGTGTTCTCTCATATAAGCATTAGGTGAGAACTATTCTACCTTGACAGCCATTTCTACTCAGGACTTTGGGAAAGTTTGGTGAATGTGGAAGAAGCAGCCTTATGCTATCTGACAGTTTTTTCCAGCTCTCAGTAAATAAATAACAGTATAAACTATTTCCCATTTTTATACATGACTAGCAAATTTGGGGATTTTTTTTTAATGATGAGAAATTATATTAAAACAATAGTTTTACCTTCCCTCATCTGGGTTGCTCTGGTACATTTGTGCAGTTGGAGATACCATACTCTGATGTGATAAAAGAGACGGTGAGAGATTTATTCCTCTGAGTTGCTGAAAAGCTATTTCTGCATGGATGCTCCGAGGATTATTTGTCAGAATGCCTGCATTCTTGTTTTTTTTGTCTGAAATTAAAAATTGTGAAACAATGAGAAGCACTAAGTAATAAAATGAATTAAGTAATAAATCTTGGTTGCCCGTCAACTGAATGTGTGCTGTACATATTTCATAACATGAATTAAAACATTTTAAATAAAAATATAAAATTGGAATAGATTTCTAGCACTTAATGTTGCTTAAATTTCTCTGAGTTAGTGAATCTACTTGATTGTTTCTTAGTAATTTTAAAAAATATAAATAGCTATAGCTGTGTGCTATAATAAATGTAGAGATAAGATGACCATAATTTTCAGAATAAAAATTGTGGAAACGTAGTCCAAAAATAGGAGACAGAGTATAGGACTTTTCAAGAAAACCCTAAAAAATAGTCACACAACAAATTCTGAAGACAGATATCTGAGGAGGACATGATGGAGATGAATCCAAGGTTGAACTACTGCCAAAAAAAAGAAAAGAGATTGATGACATTCCTGAAGATAAATAATATTGTACTGCTAAGGAGGCTAATAATTTGGGATGTCCAATTGTACTGACAGTTATATCTACTGGACAAAAGCATAAAAATTCTCACTGTGACTAAAATCTTAATGCCATATGTATGTAGAAGTATGAAAAATAAGTTAAACAAAAAATAACATCTTAACAAATTAAGTTATTTTGGGTTTCTTTTACCTGAGTTTCCTTTAAAAATAATCACACAGAACATTCTACTATTTTTAGTAGGTTCTTAGATCATTCTATAATTACCGTGATGTTCAATTTTATTGTCCAACAGTGGCCCCATGCAAAGTGTGATGTTATAAGGAAGGGAAGATGTGATCTCTCAGAGGAGTAGCTATCCCCAGATTTACCAAAAAGATAACCAGCAAAGATCTGGAATATGGGAATAGGTTTAATCTAAGCCTGAATTAAAATGTGTATGATAGAAGGAATCCTTTCCATACCTTGTCCTTTTAATGTACTCGCTCTATAGAGCTCTACCTCTTGAAACTCTTCTCTCGTTTTAGCTTCATGGTTTATTTGTGGTTTCAAGGATAAAGTCTGATCTTCTCTTTGTACCCAAGAATCTGTTGTCACAGTATTTTTAAACCTTTGACTTTCTACTTTTAGCAGGACATAGTAATTAATTGGTTTCATATGCTATGAAATGCATAAAGTCAAACAAAAGCTTTGAAAATAAATAATTCAGGAAATAATTGTGCAAGTATCACAAAGTTCACATGAGCAAATGTTTACTAACAACGTATCAGTGGTTCAGCAAAACCCCAAAATACTAGAGACTCTAAAGTCAGAATGACCACATGAAATTTGAATAAACCTCGAGGATAGCAGCTTTGCTCTTGTAATTTTTGGATGAAGGGTAACTGCTTGTTCAGAATCAATAAATGTCCCTGGGCTTCGATTACAGATATGACTTCACAAATATACTAAGCTACTTCACTTACTAGGGATTCTTACCTACGTATAGCATTTCTTTTTTTTTTTTAATTTTTTTTTTAAGATTTTATTTATTTATTTGACAGACAGAGATTACAAGTAGGCAGAGAGGCAGGCAGAGAGAGAGGAGGAAGTAGGCTCCCTGCTGAGCAGAGAGCCCGATGTGGGGCTCGATCCCAGGACTCTGAGATCATGACCTGAGCTGAAGGCAGAGGCTTTAACCCACTGAGCCACCCAGGTGCCCCACCTACGTATAGCATTTCAAACGGATTGCAGTTATTTGTGACTCTCAGTCATGATGAAGGAGTCTTTAGCTCAAGGCAGAGTTGTCTCGTTCATGGTAGTCATCTAAGCAGGACCATGACCAATGGACTTTTGTTAATGAGTCCTCCTGAGAACTTGAGCAGTGCCCCCAAATCATGTGCATGTGTCCCCTAGTGGACATTGATTTGGCTTGTGGGCTGTCATTGGATAAAGCCCATCACTGGTTTTTAGTCACATAGATTTTTAAACTTTGAAAAGCCTAATGTCTGCATCCCCTTTCTGAGACCAGGCTTCTTCTATCAGGTTACCTGAGTCTTTTCAACTGTACTGGCTTGGGCACATGCTTCTGAGTTTCCATTTCTTGGAGGCAGTCACCATAATTTTATTGAATATAAGTGGTGGTTACTAATGGACTTTCACATTTCTTTCTTTGATTTCTCCCCCTTTTCTTTTTTGCAGAAAGGCCTACTTTGTTAACATTATTCTTGGGACTTTTACCATTTGTAGTCTGATTTTATCTCCATTAAAGTATTTTGTTTTTATTGTTACTTTTTGACTAGGAATTACTTGTATAAGTCTAGAACTTCTATTTGGTAACACTTCCTTGTTTTTTATGTCCCTTCTGTTCTCAAGATGAAGAGAACACATAAAGCTACTATCCATGTCAGGATTTCTTCTATTTATATCTTACTACAATAGAATTACTGGCATTTTATTCACAAATATTCATAAGTCTATTCATTATTTGTTGTCTTCCTATAGTTTAATCAACAAGCTATTTTTGACTTGATTTTCTGACATGAACGCTTTTGCACTAATGTGTTGCATGGCCTTTAAACAAATGGAAAAGGACTAAAATTCAATTTAAATTATTTTTGCAGTATTTTTCTCAGGAAATTTGATTATTCTAAAATTAAATCCAGACTTTTTCTACTGTGCTATTACATGAAAAGGGAAAAGTGAGTATTTTGAATTTTCAGTTTTCATTTTCAAAAATTATTTACCAAAATGAATGGAGAAAAACATTTAAAAGCATATTTCATATCTATGGATTTTACATTTTAAAGTAGTAGTTATATATTGTAAGGTTATTTTAAATTACCCTCAGTCCCCCCTCCATGTGTATTTTAGATTACTTTCTTACAAGCTTTTTTCTCATATCCTAGATTAGGCAGAGGGGGTGAGAAGGTTACTTGGTACCACACATTAGCTACACAAACAGAATGTGATTTGGTTTTCCACTGTTAACCCCAAACCATGAGATTTGGTACACTTATGTTTTTCTTTAGTGATAGTATATGGTTAGAAAATTAACATTTTTATTTCAGTAAATTTTAGAATACCAAAATCTTTTCTGAGCCACCAAGTGGCTAGGTTGTGAAAGTTTTGTAATAATTTGCAGCTGGAATACATGATACATTTTAATCCATTAAAAACTACTGGGAATGTATCAGCCAGAGTAGCAAGTAATTTTTGTTTTATAAATCAGAGTATCTGTCACCTTGCGGTATTACCAGTGCTGTTGTAAATTGAATTTAAAGTGGTATTTTAAAAAACCACACCTCCTGTTAAACAACTTTTATCTGTTTGTATCTCTTACTATAGATTATGTACAAGTAACATCTAAATAAAATTATACTTTTAACTCTAAAAAATTGAACAAACATGCAATTATAGGAAATGTAAATTTAAAAATACAATTTTAAGTAATTTTAGAAGTCAGAGTGAGATTTCGGTTTCAAATGAAGTGTTTTGTTTGTTTGCTTTTACATTTACTTTGAAACTCCGTCAAAATACCTTCAACTTCAGGAGTTAAAGTGAAGTCGGATCCCAGGTAATGGCTAAATGCACCAGGCAGAATTACATTTGTTATCTTTATGGGAGGAGCTTTCACTTGGCCAAATGATCCACCATCCATTGGAGAATTGGTAACAGGAATACACTACATAATAAAAGAAAAACAGTTAAGAACACCTCACCTCCCAAACTCAGATCAACAGATTTAGTTCTTAACATAAGCTCCATTTGATAATCTAAAATTCTTTAGGTCAGGAGTTATGTCTAACCTCTAAAAGTCTTTTGAACCCTTAACCTCCCTCAGAAACTTTTGTTTTGTCTTTTCAGACTGCATTGTACTCATCAATAGTGTGATGGCACTTCTCCCTTCCAAAGGATCTTAACGAGGTAAGTGCAGAAAATGAGAATTAAGCTTTTCCCCCTTTGTTTCTTTTTTACTGAGCGGGAGTTTCTAGAGTCATACCTTCCACATCTTTATATTCCTCACATTACCTCATCAAGTGTCTTGCAGTTAATTAGTTTTCAAAAACAAACAACTAAATAAATGGGGACTAAGGAAAGCATCTTATAATACTTTTAATGAATGTGCTAACTCTCTAAATAGTGTTTACATTTTAAGTTAGTTGAGGATTAAGAGGCTTTTAAAAGAATTTCAGGAGTCAGCAAACAGGAGAGAAGTATTTTAGATTGGAGACTCTTGGTTTCCCTAGAAGTTTATGCTTGCTGTCTTCATTAAGACTGATATTGTTTATACTTTTAAAAATATGAATATACTGAACTTGGAATATATTCAACTTATTTAGAGATACAGGCTTTTGCCATTTGTGTAAAATAATCGATTTCCCTGTTTCAGTGAGTGTTACCAAGAATGCAGCTCTGTAATGAGCACTAAAGTATCAAGCCTTTTACTAAAGCTGGTCAGTCCCAAATTCCCTGATTCCTTTGTAGGAATTTCTTCCCGTTATAATCTAGAATGTTGTCCAATTTTCTTCTGAAACCAAAGCACCAAAATGTTCTGGTTTAAAGGACAACTTTAGAGTTCATTTATTCCCTCTTTATAAATTAGACTGAACTGATAAACTTGGAAAGGTTTCTGTTTTTGTGTCTCCCAAATAGCTAAAAGAAATAATGGCTCAGTTTTGTTCTAGCCATGAAAATAAGCATTATTATTGAATCTTAAAATAGATTTCTCTAAAATATAGACTTCAAAATATCCCCTTTATTTTATTAACCCTGTATAGATGAATTAAAAAATAATTTTTAATAAAATGCTTACAAATAGGATAAGTAGAAAAATAATTAAGTTCTTATATAAGGCACTGATTCAAAAGGCAAGAATATGTGTCTAGATTCACTCAAGACACATTATCATATCATAGTATAGTAATGGGAAAAATCCAAATTTACTATATGAAAAATAGAAAAGACTAGCCAAGAAGCAAACCCTTTAGTGAAATATTCATCAGCTAAAATTTGAATATATGTAGTATCAAATGTCCAGTGTGCTCTGGGAGTCAGTTTGTTTTACAGAAGGGATGGAGAGTGTTGGGTATCCACTGAGTTAGGTGAAAGCATCTACAGTAGTAGTCTCACCTCTTTTCTCTTCAGCATGCATTTTATTTATTTTTTTTAAAGATTTTTTTTTTTAAATTTATTTATTTGACAGAGATATCACAAGTAGGCAGAGAAAGAGGAGGAAGCAGGCTCCCCGCTGAGCAGGGAGCCCGATGTGGGGCTCGATCCCAGGACCCCAGGATCATGACCTGAGCCGAAGGCAGAGGCTTTAACCCACTGAGCCACCCAGGCGCCCCTTCAGTATGCATTTTAAAGTAATCTTTGTTCACTGACTGATGTCCTTGCTTTCTGGCTTTCACTTACATTAGAGGTTCACTTACCTTCTTACTGCCCTACCCCAGTTTAGGTCTTCATAATCTCCCTCTTGGGTTATTCTAAAAGCCTCTTAACTGGTTCCCCTGCTTCCAGCCTCTTCTTTCTCAAGCCTTGCAAAGGCACGGCTCTAATAAGGTTACTTCTTTGTTAAAAAAACCATAGCTTTTCTGTGTTTAGTCTTTGTGGAGGATGGCCATGAAGAATCCTTGTGGTCAAGGACAGAATTTCCTAATGATATGCTTTTGCGGCTTCTGTCTCTAATCTCTTTCATGTCATGGTCAGATAACTTTTTAGAGTTTGTAGGTAAGAGGCGCAATTTTTCTGGCCAATAAGAAAAGAAGCTCACATCTCCCTTGTTAAATGAACTACATAGTCTGGAGAGTTGAGATCAGAATTCCTTCCTTCCCTTCCTAGCTGCTAAACTGAAAGATTTAGTTTCGGTTTATAGAAGTGATATGTTACAGATTCTTACCCTCTAGCTTTATCTCTGATATTCAGCAAGAGGCACACGGATTTTAAATAATTTTCTTAATGTCGAATTACATTATTGGAAAAAAGGAGCTTCCCTGGAATTTATGTGTGTAGATGTGCTCTATTCACCAGATCAAGGTGCTTTTGATAGTAATCACTAGAATAGATACTAAAATAATCTACAAAAACATCATGGCCCAGATTTACCCGGTAAATTGGTTTTAATTTACTAATAATTGTGTATTTTAAAAGGAAAAGTATAAATAATAGAAGTATTACCGAAGTTTTCTTTGCTTGGAGTTCAGAGAAGTGAAATTCAGCTTTAGCTCTATCATCTGAGTTCACAGGAATTCCATCTAACATCTGTAAGTTAGGCAGCCGAAATATGAGCACGTGGCGATGTAATGTTTTTCTGCAAATCTGAATAAAGTTACACATAACAACTTATTACTTTAAGAAAACATTTATTTCAAAGATTCACTTTTATGGAGAAGGAAATTTAACACAGGTAGTAAAAATGACAGATAATAGCTAATTTGTTATAATAGTACAAATATGAGCTCCCTTTTTGAAAGTTTTCTCAATTCCCTATTATACTAAATGAAGATTTAAACTTTTTAAATTTAGTTTTTGGTTTCTTCTTATTATTATTTTTAATTTAAATTCAATTAGCCAACATACAGTATATCATTAATTACAGAGGTAGAGTTCATTAATTCATCAGATGTATATACACCCAGTGCTCATCATATCACGCGACTTCCTAAATACCCATCACCTAGTTACCCCAACCCCTTCCTCCTCCCCTCCAGCAACCCTCAGTTTCTTTTCCATAGTTAAGAGTCTCTCATGGTTTGTCTCCCTCGCTGATTTCTTCCCATTCAGTTTTCCCTCCCTTCCCTTATGGTCCTCTGCACTGTTTCTTATATTCCTCATATGAGTGAAACCATAACATAATTGATTCTGATAGACTTATCTCACTTACCGTAATACCCTCCAGTTCCATCCATGTTAATGTAAATGGTAAGATTTGTATCCTTGCTGATGGATGAGTAATATTCCATTGTGTACATATACACACAGAATATATACATACACACAAATACATACATAAACACACACACAAACACACACATTGCCTCTTCTTTATCCATTCATCTTTATCCATCCATCAGAACATCTCAGCTCTTTCCACCCTTTGGCTATTGTGGACATTGCTCTTATAAACATTGGGGTGCAGGTGCCCCTTCAGATCACTACATTGTATCTTTGGGGTAAATATCCAGTAGTACAATTGCCAGGTCAGGGTAGCTCTATTTTTAACATCTTGAGAAACCTTCATATTATTTTCCAGAATGACTGTACCAGCTTGCATTCCCACCAACAGTGTAAAAGGGTTCCCCCTTCTCCACATCCTTGCCAATGTTTGTTGTTTCCTGTCTTATTAATTTTAGCCATTCTGACTGGTGTGAGGTGATATTGTGGTTTTGATTTGTATTTCCCTGATGCCAAGTGATGTGGAGCATTTTTTCATGTGTCTGCTGGGCATTTGTATGTCTTCTTTGAAGAAATGTCTATTCATGTTTTCTGCCCATTTTTTGACTGGATTCTTTGTTTTTTGGGGGGTGTTGAGTTGGATAAGTTCTTTATAGCCTTTGGATACTAGTCCCTTATCTGATACGTCATTTGTAAGTGTCTTTTCCAATTCTGTAGGTAAAAAGCAGCAGCTTTTTATCTTGATGAAGTCCCAATAGTTCATTTTTGCTTTTGTTTCCCTTGCCTTTGGGGACATGTCTAGCAAGGATTTGGTGTGGCTGAGATCACAGAGGTTGCTGCCTGTGTTCTCCTCTAGGATTTTGATGGATTCCTATTTCACATTTAGGTCTTTCATCCATTTTGAGTTTATCTTTGTGTATGATGTAAGAAATTGGTCCAGTTTCATTCTTCTGCACGTGGCTGTCCTATTTTCCCAGAGCCATTTGTTGAAGAGACTGTCCTTTTTCCATTAGATATTCTTTCCTGCTTTATCAAAGATTAGTTGACCATAGAAATGAGGGTCCATTTCTGGGTTCTCTGTTGTGTTTCACTGATATGTGTCTGTTTTTGTGCCAGTACCATACTGTCTTGATAATTACAGCTTTTCATTAGAGCTTGAAGTCTACCATTGTGATGCCACCAGGTTTGGTTTTCTTTTTCAACATTCCTCTGGCTATTCAGGGTCTTTTCTGTTCCGTACAAATTTTAGGATTCTTTGTTCCAGCTCTGTGAAAAATGTTGATGGTATTTTGATAGGGATTGCTTTGAATGTGTAGATTTCTCTAGGTGGCATAGACATTTTAACAGTGTTTATTCTTCTAATCCATAAGCATGGCGTTTTCCTCAATTTCTTTCATAAGTGTTCTGTAGTTTTTAGAGTACAGATCTTTTACCTCTTTGGTTAGGTTTATTCCTGGGTGTCTTATGGTTTTTGGTACAATAGTAAATGGGATAAATTCCTTAATTGCTCTTTCTTCTATCTCATTGTTGGTGTATAGAAATGTAACTGATTTCTGTGCATTGATTTTATATCCTGCCACTTTGCTGAATTCCTGTGTGAGGTCTAGTAAATTTTGGTGTGGAATCTTTTGGGTTTTCCACATAAAGTATCATGTCATCTGTGAAGAGGGAGAGATTGACTTCTTTGCCAATTTGAGAGCCTTTTATTTCTTTTTGTTGTCTGATTGCTGAAGCTAGGGCTTCTAGTACTATGTTGAACAATAGTGGTGAGAGTAGGCATGCCTGTTGTGTTCCTGACCTTAGGGAAAAGCTCTCAGTTTCTCCCCATTGAGAATGATATTTGCTGTGGGATGTTTTTGTAGATGGTTTTTTGATTTGAGGTATGTTCACTTTACCCCTACACTGTGAAGAGTTTTAATCAAGAAAGGATGCTGTATTTTGTCAAATGCTTTTTCTACATCAATGGAGAGGATCGTATGGTTCTTGTCCTTTCTTTTATGAATGTGCTGTATCACATTGATTGATTTGTG